GGTGAGGCAGCTGCAGATCGGCGGCCAGCCGCGGCAACACGTCGTCGGTCAACGACATCGTCCCGTTGTCGCTCTTGATCGCAAGCTGCGCCGCCGGGACGATGGCGACACCCTTCGTCTCCATGTAGGTGGCCATGACTTCGTGCGCTTGGTGGTTGCAGAGCGGCCAGCCGAGATACTCGTCCATCGTCCGGACGCAGAGTAATGGCCACTGGTGCGTCGGCAGCTCAAACGATGTGAACGGCAACATTTGCTTGATCGAGTGCAGTGCTTGGATGATGGGCTTGTAGCTCTCTGCGTCCACGGGCAGACTGGCGAGCGGCGTCGCTTTGCCTCGCACCGCCTTGGCCCGCTTGCGCCCTGGCTTGGACGACATGGTTGCTCCACAGGGGGTGACAACCCCTCAGAAAAATGGCTTTTGTGTCGCTTTTCAGCGAGCTTAAGGTCTGGGAGGTTAACCCTAACCCTCCCAGACCTAAAGGCGGATAATCCGCCAACTGGCGTGAACTCGCGACATACATTCCTAAACCACGTGGTTCTCCATCGACAAATCAAATCCATTTGCACCCAGAACCAACCAATCAGCACGAACCAGAACGCCGAAATCGCGCGTGCTTGAGCACTCGGGGGCCAGCCAAAAAACCAATTGTACACGCACCTCACGTTTTTTGCAAGCTTTCGATACGTCCAATTCGCGCGCGAATCCCCACAAAACTCCATGAGCTATGCGAGGCGAGGATAATACGGCGCTGTGATTGGCTGACACTAAATCATTTTGGCCAATAAGAAATCGTATCCGGATAAAACGATATTGCCACCAACTGCCACCAACTCGACATCCCGCTTGACCTCAAGCTTGATGAACTGGCGCAATGGAGAAGAAGACCAGAGGTACTCAAGTCTGTGGCGAATGTGGGAAGACCAAGCACACCGTGTCCATGCTAGCGTGCGAAATGAGCTTTCCCCCTGGTTGCTCCAAGATGACTTTGCCTTTCTGGCTGGCAACGTCATCCGGATGCCCAGCTTGGATTCGAACATGTATAAAACAGTTTATTGCCCATCCGAAGGACATGTCATGGGCGTCGACTTGTCGATGCAAGCGCTGCCGTGTGGCAGCGACGTACGGTAGTCGTATGTGTACCAGTACTTGTCTTTTGGCGCTCTCGATTCGAGTTGGCTGCCAGTAGCGGCTGTGATTACCACAACGTTTTAAACCATGTGTATAAAACATATGCTTTCGTATCCGGACGTTTGTCGCTCCCGAGGCGGCCAAAAGATCGCGGAATGGACACCGTGCAGATCCGCTTCGGACGGCCGCATGCGTCGCTCGCCCGGATCGGCGGCGCCGACGCTGACGAGGCTACTCCTCTATCTTTATCGCCGCTGCACCGACCGGCGCCGTCGCCGGTGCGTCGGGCGTCCACGTCGCGGGTGACGGTACAGCTCCTCGACCCTCGCCACCGACAAGGCGCGCTCATGCAGCACCTTCTTTAGATGCTCGACGCTGAGGCCGTGACAGCAATGCGAATTGAGACGAGCGTCGTGTGCCGCCCGAGCAGCGGGTTTGTCCCGACCGTCGTCACGGTGCCCAAGGTGACCCGCATACCGCCGCCGCGCCCAGCTGCAATCGTGATACCAACACCGCCGACAACGCCGTTTGCTCGTGCAGCCAAGGCAAAGCCTCGCCGTGTCGTAGTGGACACGCCTCTCTCGCCGCCGCCCGCCGTGCTCTACACGCTGAATCAACCGCCAAAGCGGCGCCGCTCTGTCGTCGACGCTCCACCGGTCCACGCCGAGGTCGAGGCCTCGAGCTTCTCCCGCGAACACCTTCGAAAAAAAGAGCACGACCGGTGGACGGCTGCCGTTCGGTGGCTCAAGGACGCCCACTACGCCGATGCGCAGACGAAGGAAAAGACTGCGAGCGAAGCTGCCAAGCGCCAGCATCTTGTCGACATGGCCAAGACCGTCCGCGAGCAAAACTTCAAGCGCTTTACAAAGCAAACACCGGCGCCGCCAAAGCAACTTCGGCCCAGTCGGACGCCGACCGCAGTCGTTGCGCTGCCGCCTAAGAAACCCCCGGTGCCACGGCTCGGGAAGCGTCGGTCGACCAAAAGCGCTGCACCGCCCTCGCCCGTCAGCAACCAGCAAGAGATGGCACCGCCGCCGGCACCCGCCGTACCCAAGAGAAAAAAGCGACCTGTTGCGACAAGAAAGCCCGTCGACGTCGCCAATACAGTGGACGAGACGACGAGAGCGTCGTTGGACGCTCGCCGCGCAACCGCGCGGGTGTTTATGGAGCAGCAAAAGCAGCACCGTGACGAGCAGCGGCGGCGTGAGCGGCAGCTTGAAGCCGAGCACGCACGCGCGCGCCACGCCAAGCTCCAGGTAGCGTTCCTTGGTTGTAGCTGACACTTCATTGCTCCCGTAGCACGTCGAGACGGTTCGGCTCCAGCGGCTTCGCGACTCGGTGGCGCTGGCTAAAAAGACCAAGTATATGGAGACACTTGTACGTACCCAGACGCAGTCGACGGCCGAGCATGCAATGAACTTGGACCTGCGGCCACCGGCGGGACGAGCGTTCTGGCCGACAGAAGTCGACAACTCCGATAACGGAAGCGTCGACACGGAGAACCGATCGGACACGAATCCGTGGCCCATATCGCCGCCCAACAATCCACCGGTCGACGACGGCACGCAGTCGGAAGCCGAACACGACGACGAGAGCGACGATGCGAGCAACAACAGTAGCGACGACGACGGCGCAAGCACCGAGCCAGAAGACGCGTCGATGCTGCGCAAGCTCTATGCTCTCAAGCAGCTCACCGACTCGCTGACGAACCGCTTGTCGCAGCTGTCGCAGCCACCAATCGCACCACCGCCTGCCATCGTGCCGGTTCAGTGGCAGGACACGGCAACGGCCGAGATGGAGGAGCGCATCGAAGCTGCGCTCGAGATGTACGCGCCACAAGCGCTACCGGCACCGTTCAAACCGCCCGTCTATATCCCCGCCGAGGCCGCGGTGCCGTCGTCCGTGTCGTCGTCGGCGTCATCGCTCGACGCCAGGGCGTATTACCGACCAACGCTTATTGCCCAAGAGGCTCCGGACGCCTCCGACCGTTGGTCAACGACAGAACGTGCGGCAACGCGCATGCCGGTCGCAAACAACCAAGAGACGAGCGAAGACGACGACAGTGACGGAGCACCGTCCTGGCGACGCCGACCGTCTCTCGTCGACGAGCGACCACCCTCGGCTTGGCGCGTGTCGCCGATGCTGCCGCCGCCCAGCAGTGCGTTCCAAAGACTTGTGCGTGAGACGGACGACAATGATGATGACGATCTCGACCGTCTCATTGCAGCCTCGAGAGACGCATACAGTGTCGTCGATATGTTTGCGCAAGAGCTTTTGCGGCAGCAACAAGACCAGCAAGCGCTTCGATCGTCAACGCCTCGGTTCGAAGCCGTCGAGGACATTGAAGACGACCACTACCAAGAGCAGCGCAGCAGTTCCATGACGTCGCCGGACGATACGTACCTCCGTTTCGGCAGCGGCAACTATGACGGCGTTGACGCTTCCGGACACGATGACTGTCCAGCCGCGTATTCGGACCGTGCTCACATTTTGATTCACACCAAGGGAGTCAAAGACGGTGACGGGTCTGACGAGGACGCTCGAAACGACGGCATACCGAATGACGGTGCTCGTGACGGCATGGCGCAGTACACAGTGGACCCTGACGTTGAAGCCCTCTTGAGCGAAGCACACCGGATCCTGTCGCACGAGGCCCCCGAGACGACACCGCCTCGTGCGTATTGGGACCACATGCTTCTCGAGGACGACGAGGTGACACCAGCGCTGCATCGACGTCCGCGCGTCACGATCGTCACCGAGGAGGAGGACGCTGTCGTGGCGCAGCGGCGGCAGTTTTCACCGCGGACTCTATCCCGGCAACTGCTCGCGGCGGTCGAGTTTCAGGAGACTCTGCACGAAGCTCAGATGCACCTCGAGTCGCTCGAGCACGCGCACGACGTCCAAGAGACGCAAGACGAGACGCTGGATTGGAGTCACTCGGTGCGCGCCGACGTCGACCACCTCTGCGAGTCGCACGCCTTTTTGCAAGACACGCTGGCGTACCAGAGCCAGTTGCACGACGAAAACCTCCTGCGGCAAGCCCGCGACCTCCTCGAGGCGCGGCTCCAAGCACAGCGGAACACGGCCGTGCAAACAGAGGCCGCGCTTCGACACGATGCTGGCACGGAAGCCACGTGGCGTCAGGACGCTGGCACGATGGCCGTCGAGGCGCGCGACGGTGGCACGCAGTTTGCGCTCCGGTTGTCCGTGGCAGTGCAGAGCGATGCACCGACCGTCGACGCCGAGGCAGCGACACCGGCGCAGTGGGCTCACGTCGAACCAACGACGAACGACGACGACGACAACGACGACGATTACGGCGAGGAAGAGACGTCGACCCCCAAAGCACGGAGCGCAGGCATGAGCGCCGAGGTGGAAAGTGCAGTCAACGAGAGCCAAGTCTACTCGGACGCGTTCGAAGCCAGCGTGGCACGCCCAGCATCCGTTGTCGACAACAGTGTCGTTGAAGACGATGAAGATTTGGATGATGACGCAGCCCCGGGCCTTGCTGTCAGTGACGGAGACGAGGTGGCGGACGACGACGTTGCGTACTCGGAGGGCTTTGAAAGTCCACGGAAGAGCTCCATGGCCGGCAGCATCATCGAGGACGAAGACGAGAACGACGGTGGGATGGCGGACACGACAGCCGTTGCTGTTGCATCCGACGACATTGATGATGCCATCGTCGACGAAGATGACGCTCCTTTGGACTCGGGCGACGTCAACGACGCTACGGTTGAAGATGACGATGTGCCCATATATTCGGACGGCTTTGAAAGTCCGGGAAAACCTCCAGTGACATCGACACCAACCGACGAGGACGATCAAGTCGGCGAGGATGACGCATACTCGGAGGCTTTTTCCAGCCCACGGAAGCCGATGTCCGTCGCTGACAGCGTGCACGACAACAGTGCGTCGGGGAGCCCGAGACATGCGTCGGTCGTCGGCAGTGTCGCCGACGACGCCTACTCGGAGGCATTTGAGAGTCCGCGAAAAGGGTCGATTGCCACCAGTGTACCAGACGACGAGGACGTCGACGTGGGCTCGTTCGAGAGCCCACTGCCCGTGCACGAAGCGCACGAAACTGCAGGCGCCCCGACGCCAACATTGTACACGCCGCTGCCATCGTATGCGCCGTCGTTGGCAGTATCGGCTACACCGAGCCCGCGCGTGGAGGCGTACTTGAGCTCTCTAGCTCAACGGGACGCTGCCAAGGCACAGTACATTCGCCATATTTTGGTGCGCAAAGCGAGCGAAGACAAGCTCTTGGAGCTCCGGTACGCCCGTTTGACGACGACTAGTGCTCTCTCAGCGTGGCAAGTGGAGATGGAAAAGCTACATCTCGACGGCGCTCGCACGGCCAACGTTGCCAAGTGCTACGAAGACATGATGTGCTATCCGCCCGAGAGTCAAGACGAGGTCCGCGTCCTGGCCGAGGCGTTTGGTGGCTCATTTACGACGTGGACGCCGGCGCTTGCACCGCCATTGGAGCCCCCGGGACAGCCTCGCCCGACAGAAACCACCGTCGGCTCGACCCACGGCAGCAACGAGTATGCAGACGAGTTTGAAGCAACATCGAAAGATGCATCAAACGAGGTCCTTGACGATGACGAAAAGGTGGTCGAAGCTAGTGCTCAAGACGACGAATACAACGACGACGCCTCGGTGCCTGACGACGACGCCTCGGTGCCTGACGACGATGCATCGGTGCCGGACGATGAAGGGACACCACCCGGCGTTGAGGATGAAACGAGCACCAAGGATGAAATCGGCTTGGAGTCAGGTGTCGTGGAAGACGCCATCGCTGACGTCGAGACGGCCGCGCGTGACGACGACGTTCCCGACGACATGGAGATGGACCAAAATGACATCGACGATGACGCTTCGGCCAAAGAAGACGCAGAGATCTACTCGAGCGACAACTTTGCAGCGCCATCCGAGGACGTGGTTGACGTGTCGGAGGCACCGGTCGCAGAGGACGACGACCCGGTCGACGATGTCGCGCCGGTGGACGACGCGCCGGACGACGTCGGTGTTAGTGGTGTTTATTCAGACGACGATTTCGATGAGCACAAGAGCACGGTCGACGAAGCGTCGCATGCGTACTCGGTTGACGGGTTTGAAGCACCGACCAGCGTCACAGATGCTTCAGCTGTTGACGTGCCCAGTGCGTCGCTTCCAGCCGACCCACTCGTAGACGACGACGCACCGGTGGAAGCTAGTGAGCCCAAAGACGACATTGCCGATGTCCCATCAGAGACGTCCGAGGTCGAGGGCGAAGTGGAAGATGACCATGAAGATGACGCATTAGTAGCCGACGAAGAAACGACGGCCCAGGACGACGGCGAGTATTCGCAAGATGAGTTTGCGTCCGGTTCAGCTCCGCTGGACACTCCAGTTGTCGCATCCGAAGCCGACGCCGACGACGGCTACGGCGACGATTTTGAATCGAGTTCCAAGAGTGGTTCCGGCGAAGCAGCCAGCAACACATCGGAGCAGCTGCGGCGAGCGCTGGATGAGCTCCAACAGACGCACCCGCGGCTCGTATCGGCAGAAGAAGACGCCAAGTACACTCGGCGCAAACTCCAAGCTCTGGCCCTTCTCGAAGCCAAGAAAAGCGCAATCGTCGCGGGCACCAAGCTGTCGGAGCTCGCTGCGATTGACCACTTGGTCACATACTCGCTGCAGCTCAACGTTCACGACGAAATTCAAAAGCAAACACCGGTGTTTGTTCCAGTGGCGCAAGACGCAGCAACACCATTGGCAGCCCCAGCCATTGCGGCGGTTGCCCCCGAGCCCGACGACTACTCGGACTCGTTCAACGACGACGAAGAGCTCGCCGATGGTACAGACGACGTCGCTGAGAATGTTGCGTTGCCCGATGAGGCGATTTCGTCAACCCCTGAGGTTGCAGTGCTGGCATCAAGCTTGGACGAAGGAGAGCAGCGGCTCCAAGCCCTCCAGGTGCGTCAAACGTTATCTGCCGTAGCCCACTCATGTGACACTCCTAGGAGGCGGTGGCGGCCAAGCAGCAGGAGGCCATGGCGGTGCAAGCGCTGGTCGCGAAGGAAGAGCGCAAGATTCTTATCCACGTAGACCTTGTTGTGGCTTCGGGCGAGCGTTGACCTTGATGTAGGAAACGATCGAGACCCTCCAAGTGCAGCTGGATCAAACCGAACGGCTCGTGGTGTCGGAGGCGGATCGACTCGCTGCGCTCCAAGCAACCGCCAAGGATTTAGCTATTGTCGACGATGCCCCGACGGCACAAGCCAATGTCGCCAGCGATGACGAAGTCGCCGGTAGCCAAGAAGGCGATGCGTGCAACGACGCGTCGCTCGACGAGAGCTTTTCGTCCGAGAAGGCGGCACCCATTGCGAGCGCATCGATGTTGGCACTGGAAGAAAGTGCCGAGAACGATCGTTTGGACAATGACGATGACACTGACGATCTCTTGGCCAATGACGAGGACGGGTCTGTGGAACTCTCTGTCGTCGATGGCGAGTCGCTTTCGGACGTCGACGTCGCGGACGCATCCTTTGGAAGTCAAGACGACGACAACGACGACGAGCCATCTATAGTGGCGACGCCATTGGCACTGGATGTAGAGCCAACGATCGACGTTGCACCGACAGTCCCACGCCTGGCCGCGACGCCACAAGTCCTCGACGACTCGTTCTCTAGTGTTGTCGACGACGAGCCATTGAGCGTAAATCTTCTGGATGGTTTCGACGTCGTCGAAGCTGCGCTGCCGGCCAACTGGTTCCGAGAGACGTCGGTGCAAACGGTCGCCACGATGGAGACGCTGGATTACATCGAAGTCGCATTACCGCCGGTCCATGCCTCCGCCGACAACGGCGATACCGCAATGGCGTCGATGGACTACGTTGAAGACGCCGAGGTACCAACACTAGCGACAGCAAGGTCGTATTTGGACACTTGTGACCACATTGAGCTTGCCGAGTCGGCTACATCGGCGGCTCAAACGCCCATGGACGCATTTGCCTCGTACGATCACATCGAGGTGGCGACGCCCGCGCTCCCGCTCTCGACAACCGACGTATGGACAAACGAGCCAACATCGGTGGTTGACGCTGAGCACAAGGACGACGACAGCGCAGACGACGGCAGCGCCGATTTGGACGCGTTCTCCGACCAGCTGCTCCTTGGCGGCTCGGCGCCGTTGGAGGACGATATCGTCGTTCATCATGAAATCCAAGTAGCTCGCGCTGTCGACATATTCTCCCAGCAGTACGACTACGTGGAGGTAGCGCAAGCGCCGCGCGCACTTTGCTCTCCGTCAAGCAACGACAACGCCGTTCCGGTGTCGGTGACTACGGAGAGCGATGCCGTTGCTCCTCTAGCCTCTTCAAGCTTTGCAGTCGGTGACGTCGGTTGCTCACATCAACGTATCGACGTGCTGGCTAATTTCTCCCACGTGGAGGCTGCCGAGGCGCCTGCACACCGAGACCAGTCGTCGTGGGCCATACCCTCAACGCCACTTGACGCATACGATCACGTCGAGCAAGCCCAAGCGCCGACTGTGAGCGTCACGACTGAGCGCGTTGAAGAGCTGCCACCGACGCCACACGTCGATATTGACGCCCTTGTCAGCACACTGTGGCACAATCTTGAGCAAGACGTCTGGGCAGACGTGCTCCGCGCGGCCACTGCTGAAGCGCCCTCCGTCGAAGTCAATGGTGAGGTCGGCAATGACACGACCGACGAGCTCGTCACCGAGACGCCCGACCCTGTCGATCGGCTCGTGGATGATATCTTTCGTGACGTTATGGACGACGCGCTGCTGTCACTGCGACGTCCCGGCCCGCGGCAGACAACTGTAGCACGACCATCGACGCCACCGACGGCGCCTGTGTTCAAAGTCGACACACTGCGCGACATGACGGCGTTCAAAACCGAGTACACGCTGATGACGCAGGCGCGTCAAGCCTTTGACTGGCGACAAATCGATGCCGCTTTGGTCGATGGTGTCGACATCGAGCTCCCAGCAAGCACACTAACGGCGCGTCGGCGGCTGATGCAAGATTGGCAGCGCGAGAGTGCGCCGTCGTCCGCACGACCGCTGGTCGACAACGTTCCGAAAAGTGTCAAGGAGCTCTTGCTCAACGATACGTCGGATGCTGCCGTTGCGTCGGTGACATCCCGCCTCGTCAAAGGCACCGCCGACTCGGAGGCACGAATAGTCGACGCCATTTGGAGGGAACTGTGCGCTGAGGCCGTTGGAGGCAGTCTACGGCCAGCGCTCGACACCGCGGATACGTGACCATCGAGGTCGTTTTGATATACCAGTAATATATGTCTCGCAGAAGAGATAAGATGAGAGACTCGGAGCTACACGCGAGAGCCAACTTTGGGCATAACCGTTCCAAAGATGACAGAACTGTGAGCTTGTCGTCGTCGTGATGCATCGAGAAACGAAGTGTCAACTTCTTGGCATTTCGCTATATTCTTGGCGCTTCAACGTTTCCTCCATCGGCGGGCTTCGAAGATGTTGAGCATCCGGGACTCGGAGAGCCATCGTATAAACCACAAGAATATGTATTACATCAACATTGATCACATTAACCACACGCCAGCTTACACCGTCGGCGCGCACTGGGGGCGCAAACGGAAACGAGGCGGCGCCGGCGCGTCCGTAACATACGCCACAATGTTGTTCACTAATTCGTTGAGCACGCCGCTCTTCGACGAGTCGGTGCCATCTTGCGGCTTCACGTCGTTGAACACATACGACGACAGCGTGTTCGCGTCCGTCGCAGCTTCCGGGTCACTCGGTGCCGCTACGTCCAACGGCTTGGTTTCATATGGCGCAACGTACGATGTTGCAGACGACATGCCGTTCGTATACGCCGTAGCATCGGTCGACGAGCCAGCCGTCGACTGCGTGTACGACGACACGGCCGAGGCGACCGCCGACGCAACCGAGAGCGGCGCACCGGCCTCGATGGCTGCGATCTGCACCTCCGCAGGCGAACCACCCGAGTTGACGGCAACCGCAATGGCGGCGGCCTGGCCGAGGCTCGCACCCGAGTCGAGAGCAGCCTGGATGACCTCGATGATCGGCGCAGGCGTACCGGCCGCACTGCTCGCAGCACTGGCGACGCTCACGGCATCCGACGGGTTGACACCGGCCGCCAAGGCAACGGCAACAAGGTCGCTGCCCGTGACGCCCGACGACGCAGCATCGGCAACCGCAGCGGC